CTCTGCGACTGCCATAGCGAATGGCCGTGGGGCCGGCCCAGCAGTGGCTCTTGGGGGAGCTCCAGGGGCCACATCACACAGCAACCATCGAACTGGCCCCCCAGGGCAGCTTCAGCAAAGGAACCGCTGGCACGTAGTGCTGGGGGGTCTGAGCTGTGCCCCACAGCTGTCCCCAGCACAGGCGGAGATTGATTCCTGCCCCACGGCTGTCCTCAGGGTGACTGAGCTGCACCCCATGGCGGTCCCTGGCGCCGGGGTAGACCGAGCTGTGCCCCATGGAGGCCCGCAGTGCTGGGGGCGATCGAGCCGTGCCCCTGGTTGGAGAGCCCCTCCCCCTCTGAGCCGTTGCCCACGCAGCCCAGGCAAGCTGGGAAGGAACTGGAGAAATAAACTCAGTGACTGGCCTTGCCGTGGCCCTGCTGCTGGGGCTGGGGGTTGGGGGCTGGGGCCACCCTGAGGGAGCCTTGCTCCAGGGGCCGGGCCGGGGTCCGCAGGAGCCGAGGGGAGCCGGCAGGAGCTGCTCCCCGGGAACCAGGCTCGGCACCGGCAGGTGCCCATGGTCATAACCCGCTGCGCAGGCAGGGCCGACGGGACACAGCCTTCCTGCAGCGCCTGCTCCTCACGGGGCAGCCGGGGCCAGAGCGCAGAGCGCCCACCTGGCAGTGCCCCTGGGCCGGCCCATCACCCGCTGCCACCTGCGCGTGGGCAGCACTGACCCCAGGGGCTGGACCAAGGGGTTTCCAGCCAGCCCCCTCGGCTCTGAGCTCTGGGAGCCTCCCACCTCGTGGGGTCCTAGAGCCCGGGCGCCAGCTCGCACCGAACATCTGTCCTGCAGCGAAGCAGCCCGAGCCCAGGCTGCAAATTCAGTGTGGACATTGCCCGGGTGACCACACCGGTCCCTTCGGGCTTGGGGATCTCGCATTGCAGCCTGGGTCACTGTACCAGCCTTGCCAGCCCAGGCCGGAGCCCCACGTCTGCACTGTCATTGCTAGCCGTGCTAGTGCCATTGGTGCCAGCAGGAGGGTGCCAGTCCCTGCTGCGCTCAGCCTGTCTGTGCTGGGGCCAGCCTCGCCATGTGAGAGGTACGCCAACCAGCGGCGTAGCCAGGTCCTAAGTGCAGGGGGAGCAAACCTAAAAAAGGCGCCCCCCCTTTGGCTCCTCCTCCGGCCGCGCCGTGCCCCCCCCACTGGCTCCTCCAGCCGTGCTGCGCCCCCCCCTTGGCTCCTCCAGCCACGCTGCGGCCATGCTGCGCCCCCCCCCCTCGGAGGGGCTTGGGCAGGGGACTGGGGGCGGGCTGGCGGTGAGGGCTAGTTGGGGCTGGCGGCTCCCCCCGGCGTAGCAGCAGGCACAGCCTTCGGGGAGGCCGGAGGGCTCCTCATGGCAGAGGTGGGAGGAGAGCCGCACGGCTCTGGCCGCGTTCTGGGAACTGGGGCCACCGCCCTGGGGCCCGAGCCGGGCTGGAGCCGCTGGGGCCGGAGCTGCTTGGCTGGGGCTGGAGGGAGCCGCGCCGTGCCTCCCCGGAGCCCTCCTCCTCCTGTTCCCCGCCCGCCCCAGCTTACCTGCTGCTGCCGGCCTGCCCCTGCTTGTTTTCAGACTTCCCGCGAACATCTGATTCGCGGGAAGCAGGGGAGGGGGAGGAGCAGGGGGGTGGAGCGTTCAGGGGAGGGGAGGAGGGGGAAGTGAGCTAGGGGAGGGGTGGTTAGCTGCGGGGCCCTTTTAGGCGCGGCCAGCCCTGCTCAGGCGCTGCTTTTGAAAAATGTGATGAGGGGAAGCGGCTGCTTCCCCTGCATCTCACTAGCTACGCTACTGACGCCAACCCCCCTCTGCGCACAAGGTCTCGGGCAGGGGCAGGGGATGCACATCCCTGCTTGGTGCCTCAGTTTCCCCCCGAAGCAGGGCTGCTGATGCTAAGCTGGAGCGGCCCTGGGCAGTGCCCATGGGGGCGGGGGCTGCGCTCTGGCCCCTCCACTCTGGGCAGAGCGAGCGCGTTAACTCGCCGGGGTGTCAGTGTGTGGGTGAGGCTGCAGAGCCACTTCTGGGGCAGCTGGTGCCTGGCAGCTCGGACATGGCATTGGCTGCACCCCGGCAGGAGGTGGGCACGACGGGTGGGGTGGTGAGGGTGGGGCAATTGGGCCAGGTCCAACCCTCGGGGCCCAGCCACTGCCAACAGTGCAGCAGAAACGTTACCTCCCTGCCCTGCCAGCTCCCGGGCACAAAGGACATCTGGCCCGGATCCCCAGGTCTGGTGCTCTCGCACGGCTCTGGCCCAGTCCCTGGGAGGCCCCCTTCAGTGTGTCAGCCCCGTCAGGGTCACACACTCACTGGGGTGAGCCTCTTGGCTTCCCCATCTCCCGCAACCAAACCTCAGAGCCTTCAGCGTCCCTGGGTCACGGCAGCGAGTCCACCCAAGCTGGACACGGGGGAGACTTGTACGCCCAGAAGGAGCAATGCACCCCCACATTCTTTACCCTGCAGTGACTCCCAGCCAGCGGGGTAACTCCCGGGCCAGACCTCATTCCCAGCCGGGGTTCGGTACTCCCCCCCTCCCTTTTGTCTTTGTTTCTTCCATGTCTCAAGCAGTCATCTTGGGTGGGGATTCAGTGAAGAAGGAACCAAGATTAACTCACTCCCCAGCCTTAAATAGGGTTTGCGTGTGGCGAGAATCCTTTGTCTCCCAGTTTAACCCCCCAAGATGGTGTCCAGTATCAGGTGACAGGATCACATGACCCTGCAGTGTCAAAGCAGCATCCCAGGAAACTTCTCAGGAAGGAGGAAGTTTAGTGTCTTCAAAGTCCTGTCGTTCCCTCTAATGGCCCATCCAGGCTGATTGCCTACGGTCTGGTGGGCGTTCCCCAGGTGAAAACACAGTTGTAATTGTTACATAGTCAATAATCCTAACTTCAGATACAGAACTGATACATGCACACACAGTGGATAATCGCATTCAGTAAATCAGAACCTTTCCAATGATACCTCACATGAGCCATCTTGCATAAAATACATCTTACTTATGCCATCTTCATATCATAAGCATATTTCTATGAAGAATATGGGGCATAATGTCACACCGCCCTCCTTAGATTCCTGCCAGAGGGTTAGTCACTGCTAATGCGAAGGCCGTGTGCCGAATGCCCTCTTTAGGTCATGGTTAACTAACTTCTTAGGGCTTGTCTACACTAGCGCGCGGGGTCGATCTAAAATCCGTGTGTGACGAAGTGACAACGTGAATAACGTAGCTGAAGTCGATGTACTTAGATCTACTTCCCACGGTGTCTTCACTGCAGTAAGTCGACAGCTGATGCTCTCCCGTCGACTTGCGCTTCTCGTTCTGGTGGAGCACTGGAGTCGACGGGAGAGCGCTCAGCGGTCGATTTATCGCATCTATACTAGATGCAATAAATCAACCCCCACTGGATTGATCGCTACCTGCCAATCTGGCGGGTAGTGTAGACAAGCCCTTAGTGTTACCAAAAATTGCAGTGTTACCCACAGATGTTTTTGGGTTTCTGGGTTTCTTTTGGGGTTCTGGGGTTCTTTTTCCAAGTTGCCTGAAAGCCTTTGAATGTGCAACATTGTTAACAAAATGTAGATATCAATATCTTTTAGAGGTAGGTTGTCACAGAGTCCCTGGGCGATGCTCTGGAACTGCTCCCCACAAAGCCAGTCAGGACTTTGGGGAGCCTCCTCTCCCATGGAGCAGACTGTCTTCAGGGCAAGAAGCTCACATGGCTTCACCTTCCTGGGTCTGACCCTGAAGCATTCAGCATATGCCCCTCCGTGCGCTTCCCACAGCGAGTCCGCCCAGGCGGGGTCCCGGGGAAGCCAGAGGGTTCTGCACCCCCCACTTCGCAGTCAGACGTGACACTCAGCCAGCCAGTAAAACAGAGGTTTATTAGCTGCCAGGAACACGGTCTAAAACAGAGCTTGTAGGTCCAGCAAACGGGACCCCTCCGCCAGGTCCATAAGGGGTCCCGCGAGCCAGACAACCCCGTCTGCCCTCACTCCCCGTCCCCAGCCAGCTCCAAACTGAAACCCCCTCCAGCCTCTCCTTCTCTGCGGAGTTCCTTTCCCAGGCTAGGAGGTCACCTGACCTCTTTGTTCTCCCACACCTTTAGCTATCACCTTGCAGGGGGGAAGGACCTGGCCATTAGTTGCCAGGGAGACAGAGGCACCCACACAGTATTCAGAGGAAACATTAACAACAGTCCCACTTCGTCACATCGGTGTCTGGGCATTTAGCCACCTATGCCATGAGCTGGTGTGCCTCCATTTCCCCTTCCACACAGCAATCTAGATTGGTTACGCTTTCTCTGCTGTGCCGAGCTCCAAGCCTGTTCACAGGTCCTAGCTGAGAAACAGTATTCTCATAGGACTTCCTTGTTACCACTCCTAGCCCGTACAAAAGTTTCTTCCAAAAATCATGCATGTTACACATTTTTAAAGGATTTACCATCAGCACCAAATTCTTTGTCTCAACCCATAGATTGTGAATGAAGAGGCATAAAATTACAGCAAATTCATGACAGGGCGGCACTTCCAAGTGTGATGGTCATACCACGCCTTCTGTTCAGACAGTCCAGTTTGTTCAGCATTCGTTGCATTTTCCAACCCTTTCCTGTACCACCGTATGTGTTCAGATACAGGTTTTCTCTCCCCTTTAGTACAGGTTCTTAATTCAGGCATGTCTTTGGGGCGGTGGGGAGGAAGGGGTGTAAGGAGACCTTGCATGTAATTGACCCTTCCCCTGTGGAGTTGCATTTCATCTCTAGGGCTAAGCCCATGTGATGAATCCACCCACCCACCCATCTGGGGCGTCTTTGTGTTTCTCACTCCCATTACTCAGCGACCTGGGCGTAGCTGTTGGGAGGAGTTTACCTGCCCGGGAAATGGCTGCCTCCTCCCCATTAGCATTTTCACTGACACACCAGTTCTCAGACAGAGTTAGTTTTTAGAAATACATCAAGAACAACATTTTGCAAAAGTGGGAACGGGATTGGGGTTCTCTCTGTCACCTCTCTCTCTCCCTGAGAGGTCTGTTGTGTGACGGCTCCCCTCCGGAAGGTCAGTTACACAATTCCCTCCTAAAACCTGAGCCACCGGGACGGTGCCTGGGAGCACGGATGCCAATCCAGCAAAT